GGAGCGGCTGGGCCCGTGAGCCATGGCCGCTGAGACTGCGCATCCGGAGCCTGTGCTCCGCAAGGGGAGAGGCCCCAACTGTGAGAGGCCCGCGTACCGCAAAAAAAAAAAAAAAAAAAGAGGAAACATATCCTTGAAAGCATACTGTGTGTGCAATTCTCTCTGCTATGTTTTCCCAGAAGGAGCATTTCCTCATCCCATCAAAAATCCTGTTTTTAATGGCTGCTTTGCAACTTATTTCCTCTCTTTTCTTTGTCAAGAATGGGGGCAATTTCCCTACTTTTGACGCATTTAAATGACCCTGTGATAATCATGGTAGCACATAGTTTTTGTACATCTTCATATGGTTCGTGACAGCTAGACTGCCAGAGCCGGCGTCTCTGGCACAGAGGTCTAAGACCAGGTATCCCACATTCCACACAGGCACAGGGTTTGGTGCTGCCACCAAGGCGATGTGCGTGGGCATGCGGTACTGGCAGCCGGGGCGGCTGGAGACGCTCCTCGAGGTCAGCGTGGAGTGCGGCCGGATGACGCATAACCATCCCACAGGTGAGGCAGCCGCGGGCGGCGGGGAGGCCGGACGGGAAGGCCTTCTCCCCGCTTCAAAGTCGGTCACGTCACAAGAAAAGCAGGATGGCACCGGTTCCGAACAAGCCTGGGGTCTGGCTGGAGCCCTGGGAGCCGGCACTTCTGCCAGGCTGTCCAGCAGGGAGCTGGCGCTGCCGTCAGGCCCCGTGGGCGCTGTGCGCTGCGCCCTGGCCGGGTCTGGTGGCTGTGGCGGCAGAGGCCGCTCCCCCCATGTGTCAGGACAAAGCGGGTCGAATAACAGCACCGCTCGGGGTGCGCGGGGGGCCCGCACTCTGGGCTGCCCCCCCAGGGTCGGGCTCCAGAGGGAGGGCAGGGCTGCTGACCCAGCGCCCACCCGTGAGACGTGACCGGGGAGCAGCCAGCTCCAAACTTCAGGAAAGGAGAACCCTCCTGAGCTCTGGCTGAGCTCGGCTCCCGGCCCCCGGGGTCGAGGGTGCCAGCTGCTCTCGGTAACTGTGATCCTTTCAAGGTCACCTGCAGGGTCCGGGCTTACTGGTGTCGCCCCCTGAGCTGCAAGGGCCACCCTGTGCCCTCCAGGAAGCAGCCAACGCGGGCGCCGTGGCATCTGAGGCGTGGACGTGGTAAAACACGCCGCTGAGTCCACAGCAGGCGCAGCCGCTGAGCCACGGACCCCACGGATGAGCCCGTCAGATCTCTGAGCACAAAGCCGTGAATTCAGCTGGGCGGCACCGTCCAGGTGGTGGAGAGGACTTTGCTGAGCCCCGACTCAGCAGAGAGAGTTAAACATAAACAGCCTCCCAACAGGAAACGTTGAACGTTTGGAAGCAATGCCATGAGTACGAGAACCTGGGGTGAGAGTTTAAACGTCTATAACATTAGTTAATTTATTGCCCACTCTTGTTGTGGCCTCTCCCGCTGCGGAGCACAGGCTCCGGACGCGCAGGCTCGGCGGCCACGGCTCACGGGTCCAGTCGCTCCGTGGCATGTGGGATCTTCCCGGACCGGGGCACGAACCCGCGTCCCCTGCATCGGCAGGCAGACCCTCAACCACTGCGCCACCAGGGAAGCCCAGCCCACTCTTATTAAAGAAATGTTGTTTCACATGTCTAAGAGCTGGGTAATTTATATATTTCTAGGCTGGTGACTAGGGTTGGACAGCACACACTAAATACCGCAAAGCACGTTTTAACTCCACTCTCCTTTGCAATTTTTGAACTGCCTTTGCAGGCAAGTGTCAGTTTTTCTTACCTTTATTGCCTGGGAGCGTGCGTCCCAGATCTGGAGCTGAAGCACCCCGTGACGGGAGGTGGGCTGTGGCAGGTGGTCAGGACGGCAGCTGGACCCCGGGCACGAGAGCCAGACGCTCATCCCTGCCCCAGAAGTGGTTGCGGCTGACGCCTCCCTGGGTCCCCGCTTCCAGTGGCTGCTCGCGGGGCAGCTCGGCAGGGGCTCACCTGGGCTTGGATCTCTTGCCCACAGCAGCGCTTGGAGGCGGGGGATCATGCTCTCCCCACCCTGCCGCTGCCCCCTTGCTGACGGTAACTGAAGGTCAAATTGGCAAAGCCCAGGGACACAGCGTGTCCAGCACCTGGGAGGGGGCGTGGCTGGTGCCAACTTTGACCCTCTCTCCTGTCACCCCAGGCTTCCTCGGGTCCCTGTGCACGGCCCTGTTCGCATCATACGCCATTCAGGGCAAGCGGCTGGAGCAGTGGGGACGAGACATGCTGAAGACAGTCCCGCTGGCCGAGGAGTATTGTAAGAGGACCATCCGGCACCTCGCTGGTGAGCCCAGCCTCCCTCCCGACACCCTCCCCCGGCACCTTAGAAGGAGGTGGGCTCCAGCCACACCCAGAGCAGACTTGGACAGACTGGGGGGGCCGTGTGACAGGCTGACCCCACAAAGAAGATCTGCAGTATCGCCTGGCCAGAGGGCAGCAGGTCAGGCGAGCATGGGGATCCCCTCTGGGTTCTCAAGACGCGGCCACCCCCCCCCCACACACACACACCCGTCATCCACGAGCCGTTGCAGCTGCTGCTCCAGACTTCGCAGCAGCATCCTCCTAAAATGACTTCAGAAAAGTCGCTTCAGCGCCTCTGGGGCTTGGAGGTCAAGCTGCTAGTTAGGGATAACGAACGTCCTCTCTCCTGATTTTGCAGGCACAGTGTTGAATTAATAAAAATACACAGGTTCAGGGCTTCCCCGGTGGTGCAGTGGTTAAGAATCCGCCTGCCAAGGCAGGGGACACGGGTTCGAGCCCTGGTCCAGGAAGATTTCACATGCCGCGGAGCAACTAAGCCCGTGCACCACAACTACTGAGCCTGCGCTCTAGAGCCCGTGCACCACAACTACTGAGGCCGCGCACCTAGAGCCCGTGCTCCGCAACAAGAGAAGCCACCTCAGTGAGAAGCACGCTCACCGCAACGAAGAGTAGCCCCCACGCAGCAACAAAGACCCAACTCAGCAAAAAAATAAATTTAAAAAAATACACAGGTTCCGAATTTTCAAGAGAAGCCACTTAAAAATAAAAGTACTGCGATGGCTGCCTTAGTTCAGCGCATCGTCAAGCCATTCTTTGGGTTGGTTTCGAGCTCCATCTTCCTTGCTGGTATTTCAAAGTAGCTACAATGTGAACATTTTCAAATTTCCCGAGCCTTAGCCGAGGCGAGGCGCCAGGCCCTCCTCTGCCCCAGACTGGGTGGAGGGCGTGGGCTCTGCCTCCTCCCTCCCGCCCGCTGCCCACGGCGCCCAGCTAGACGGCCGCCGCAGCCCACTCACCTGATCTTTGTGTTTAGAATACCAGGCGCACTGGTTTTACTTTGAAGCTAAATGGCAGTTTTACTTGGAGGAGAGAAAAATCAGTGAGGACACGGAGAATGAGGCCAGCTTTCCCGACCACTACAACGCAGAGGAGAGGGGCAGGGTAGGTCTGCCGGCGACACGGGCGGCGAGCGGGAGCTGTCGGGGCGCCGCCCGCTGCCCCCAGCTGTACGGGACCCCGCGGTGGAGGCGGGCTGAGGGAGCAGCTGGAAGGCGGGGCCGTGGAAGGATTTTCGAAGGAAGCCCATTGGAAATGGATGGTGCTTTTTTCATTTTCTCTGATTATAAGCACAATTTGTGCTAGAAAAGTTGAAAATGTGAAAATAGTCCACCTCACTTCATCTTTTCTAGGGACTGGGGATAGAGGGATGAATAAGTCTGTGCAAACCACCAGCATTCCCCATGCTGAGAAAACCTCCCAAGTGGCTGAAATCATCAGGATCATGTTTGGTAGCATAAGAGAAACTGCTGTAACTGCAGTTTAACCAAGACAGAAGTTCATTTTCCTCACGTCAAGGGAATCAGAGCTGAGTCAGAAGCCCCTTGCAGTGAGGAGCTGAGGATCCTCTGTCTGGCTGCTCTGCTGTTCTGCAAGCACGCCTCATAGTCCAAACTGGCTGCTCCCACTCCAGCCAGCACATCTGCATTCCAGGTGTCAAGAAGGAGCAGGGGGAGAGGAAGGGTCCACCCTTCCCTGTTAGGTGCTTCCTACCACCCTCTCATTTATCTCTCATGTGCCCCCCGACGTAGAAAGACTCAGAAACACCGTGTTTCTTCTTCCTGTGGAGGTGCTGTTGCCCCAAACCGACACTGACTCTGCTGCTAAGGCACAGGGGTGTGACCTGCCCGCGTCCACTTCCCCGGCCCTATCTGGCCCCTGCCCCTCGTCAGTCTTCTCCACAGACCCACAGGGACCTGCTCTGAGCCACCAGCTGCTCAAGCCACCGTGGCCTCCCCCACTGTGTCCTCCGGCCAGCCTGCGGCCCTGACCACACACGGCACCCCTGCCCGGCCTCACTTGTCCCTGTGCCCCACGCAGACCGCACATCACGCAGTGGCACCCGGCTGTGCTGTCACAGCAGCCCCATCACAGCACTGCAGACCCCTTGATGGCTGTCTCTGTCATAGACTCTGCTGCCCGGCAGCTGGCGTGTTTGCTTATCTGTGGGACGGCTGGGGTGAGACATACGGGAAGCCAGTGCCCACCCACAGCCCTGGGGCAGTGCCCGGCACACAGGGGCGTCACGTCAGCGCACAGATGAACCTGGAAGCTCGTGCTCTAACTCACGGGACATGGTTCTCGGCGGCCGGTGCCTCTGACCTGTGGCGCTTTCTTCAGACCTACAGGAAATGGAGCTCGGAAGGTCGAGGGGGCCGGCGGGGCCACGACGCCCCCATGATTGCCTACGATGCCCTTTTAGGAGCCAAGGGCAGCTGGACGGAGCTCTGCCACCGGGCCATGTTCCATGGAGGTGAGATGCGCCTTCTCGCGAGTGTGAAGTAAGAGGCCACCAGCCAGGCCCTCCTGGCAGGCCCCGGGCTCCCCACCTACACTGCTGGGACCTCCGGGTGCCCAGGTGTGGAGACGCGACACCTCCTGGGGCGGGGGAGTGGAGAAGGGGCAGCGGGCCAGGGCCGCGGGCCAACTGGGGGTGGGGGGGGGTAGGAGGCTGAAAGCCTGAAGTGGTGATGGGGACTTGCGGTTAAGTTCCTTGTAGTTCTTAAATAAAGTGCCTTGGACAGAGTGTAAGCAAAGAGATCTCATTGTCTAGATCCAGTAGACTCTGAGCTCCATGAGGGCAAGTGCTGCGGGCCTAGGTCACTGTTGTGACCCTGCCACATAGTATCTAGTCAGATATATATGGTAAGTGATTGACAGAGATATTTCAATCACTTTCAGTCGAGGATCTTACCATCCATGGAAGAATTTTCAGTTGTGTTTGGTGTGTGTGTGTGTGTGTGTGTGTGTGTGTGTGTGGGGGGGGGGGGGGGGGGGGTGGTGCGCAGCCTGTGGGCAGGACCCGCGGGAGGCGGTCGCCCGAGCGCACCAGGGTGTGCGGCTGTCCCGGCAGGGGGAGGGGACCCCCCTGCCCCCTTCCCCGGCACCACCCAGGGCAAACCTGGGCTTTGGCTGAGGCCAAGGGCGGAGGCTGAGATGGCCCGGCCTCCTGGCAAGGGGGCAAGGGGGCCAGGGGCCCAGGGACCGCCGTGCAGCCCTGAGGGCCCGTGCTTCGTTCTAGGTGAGAGCGGGGCCACGGGGGCCATCGCCGGCTGCCTGTTTGGGCTGCTGCACGGCCTGGACGCCGTCCCCGTGGGCCTGTACCGCGAGCTGGAGCTCAAGGAGCCGCTGCGGCGCCTGGGCGAGGAGCTCTACCGCCTGTCCGCGGAGGAGGAGTAAAGCCCCTTCCCCACCCCCAGCCCCTGCCGGCCCGCTGGCGCCTCTGGGCCCCGGGGGCCCCCCGCAGCTCATGTGGCATCTTAACTTTTCCTCCCGATTCCAGAGGCCTAACTGCGGGTATAAAACACATCGTTTGTCCTATGAGAATAGTCTTCTGGTCCTGGCCAAGCCTAGTGCCTCACTGACGTCCCTCTGGACTCAGCAGCCTCCACCTCCAAACGCAAGGTCACGAAGGGCCTCTGGGACACTCGGTGTATTTTATTCTGTCGCAAAACTAACGCATTTGCTCGCTGATTCCAATAGCACCCATAACCACGATGGCTCTGCTCGGACGGCCTCCTCTGTCTGCAGGGCGCCCAGCGCGGTCTCTTTCTAGCTCTTAGGCGTGCGGTCCGACACCTGCACACCTCGGGCTCCCCAGCCTCATGGGGCCGCACCTAGCGCTGCGTCTGCGTCCTCGCGCCGCGTGCCCAGAGCAGCCAGGAGAGCTGCCGGCGCCTGCACCTGCGCGGCTACGCGCTGTGGCTAAGCTCCAGCCCACGTGCGTCATCTCACTGGATTTAACGCCAGCCTCTCTCAGAACAACTAACTGATGCAGCCAGGAAACGGGAGCCTCGTGCGGCCCGCATCCTCCCATGTGCCGCCCTGCCCCGGGCTCGCTGACGAGGACAGAGCTGGCGCTGTTCCCCGTGGCCGGGGTTTCTCCACACTTGCTCTTGTTTAAAGTAACCTTGGACAGAATCTCTTAGAAGCAGCCTCTGGTGTGAGTAAAGTAGTGCTTGGTGATCGACGTGTAACGTGTGCTTTGGCGGCTTGGCTGGGCCCGTCTTGCGACCGCAGGCCCTGCGTGCTGAAGGCTTTGCGTCGGAGCACAGCCGGGTGCGTCCCTGCCGGACGCGCAGACACTCAGCCCCGAGGCGCCTCCCGGCGTCCTGGGCGAGGGGATGGGATGGGCATGTTTTCCACAGAATCCATCACTTTGCACTCCTTGGGCAAGTGAGGCTCTCGGCTATGCTGGAGAGAAACCTCGGGCCATCCTGCACAGAGTAACACAGTGGGCTCCACGCCACGTTTCTGAATAACTGAACTAACCTTTGCTGCTCAGGATGCTTTGCAGTCAGAAGAGGCAGAGGGGGCGACGCTCCACCACGCGGGATCCAGATAGGTTTAGCGGGGCTGGGAGATTAATGAGAATTGTCTTCCAGGAACAGAACCCAGTTAAGGTAAGTCGACGCTTTCCCAGACACACACGACAGGCTGGGCTTCCTGTGTGGAGTCTGTCCCGTGTCCCCGGCTTTCCCTAAAAGCGGCCCTTCACAATCTGCTGCGCGGAAGGGAAGTGATCAGAGTAATGGGAGTGGCTGGATTGGAGGCCACTTGGTCTCCACCTTACTGACGATGTAGGAGAATTAAACCCATCCTGAGAATCAGGGAGTGAGTCTCCTGATTAAATTAAAACACATGAATAGAAATTCACCAGCATCATAAAATGAGTGAAACTATCTCCCCATTTCCTTTTCCTATTCCAGAGAAAGGCAAAAGTAAAAGAAAAACAAAACCATAAAAAGTAATGACGAGAATTCCATACCTACTCAAATTTTTTTTTAAATTTAACACTTGCTGATTTCATTTTTATTAAAAAAGTGACACCTGCACACAGCTTCAGAAACTCAACCCCATAAATGCGGCATGTGGGAAGCAGGGTTCCTCCAAACCCTCACCCCGACTCACATCACCAGGCACCAGAGAAACCGTGGGTCACAATTCCTTCGTGTCCTTCCAGAAAGTTCTCTACACGTATAGCCGGGAAGGGGGGGTTGCATACATGCACTTGTGTGTTACACACACACACACACACACACACAAGACTTCCCTCCACAAATAGAATTACACATTACATATGATTTGCTTTGGGAATTTTTCACTTGACGGTTTTCTGGATATTTTTCTGTGTAGTCACACGTGTCCTCCTCAGTTTTTTTAACTCTTGCCTGAAATTCCATTGACGCATGTGCCATCGTGCTGCTTTCCTCCTGCATCTGTGGCCACACCCCCGTCTTAGCGGTGCCTGGCGGGAAGGGTTTGCAGCCCCAGGGACAGGTGCACGGCCCCGCCCTGCGGCGAGTTTGCAGACTTCAGGCTGACTTCAATTAATTCCTGTCCCTAGACTCTTTGCTTAGAGATTGTGCATTAGATTTCCCATCATTTTCCCAGCGTTTTCATGTCTGGAAGCCAGATGATGTCCCCCCCAGCCCCCCGCGGTCGGGGGAGCCACTCGGGGCTGAATGGCGGGGAAGGATCAGAAGGGCCCCCTCGGCGGGTCCAGCGGCCCCACCACCAGGCACCCCTGAACCCGGGCCTCCTTAGCGGGAGGCTCCACTGCGGCGCTTGACCGCCCCGTGCTGTGGGTTCAGGGGTGGGAGAGGCCGTCCGACAAGGCACTCCCTGAACGCCCCGCCGACCTCCCGGACCCGTCTAGGCTTCACCACAGCCCCGAATCCGCAGGCAGAGCCCTCGGTGAATTATGAACCCAGCACCCGGAGCAGACGGGATGGGAAAAATGGACCAGATGCCACGTGATGGAGCAGGAAATACCCAACTTGACGTTTCACCCAAACACGGGGTTTAAAAACCTCATCACCGAAATTCACCCCAAAGGTGGGAGTAACTCTTAGGTAAGAGCGCGGACACTCTGACCACTTGAGTTAAAATCTCTCCCGTGTTGGCTCATTTCCAGTTACGAAGTAGAAATATAAGGCGAGCAGCCCTGGATGTTACAGGGAAAAACCAGCGTGGGGAAATGGCAGCCTCCACGCGCCCCCGTCACTAAGGGTGGCTCCGGCGCCGGGCCACACACTAGGCCGCGGCTTCCTCTGGCTGGCGCTCAGGCTCTGGTGCCGATGACACCCAGCCAGAGCCCACGCCCGGACCCAGGGGCATCTCCCCTCAACCGCCAGCCCCCCCGGGGACGCAAACGAGGAAACACTTGCTAGCTGGAGCCTGACCACAGGGCCCTCTCAGAACTGCAGCCCCCCTGGGGGCACAGGACCAGGGGAAACCCAGAGGCCACCCTCCAGGTCCCCAAGTGTCCCCACTGGCCCAGGGCCATCTGTGCTTTCAGGTTGGCTTTGCTTCCTTCCCATCTTAACCGTTTGTTCTCAAGCACTTCAAACACACAAAAGTCACAAAACAGCTCAAAGAATCCGTGTACCCTTCACCCAGTTTTACCCGCTGTTACTGAACTAATACTGGGCCCCGTTTGCTGCATTGCTTTCTCTCCCTCTCACTACACGCAGACACACAGAGACACACATAGACACGCACAGACATGCACAGACACACACACAGACACATAGACACACAGAGACACAGACACACACAGACACGCACAGACACACAGAGACACACACACAGAGACACAAATAGACACACAGACACACATAGACACACACAGACACACACAAAGACACATGCACAGACACACAGAGACACACAGACACACACACAGAGACACAGACACACAGACACATAGACACGGACAGACACACAGAGATACAGACACACAGAGACACAGACACACACAGACACACATAGACACACACAGACTCACAGAGACACACACATACAGAGACACATAGACACACACATACCCACACACAGAGGCACAAACACACGCACAGACACACATAGACACACAGAGACACACACACAGAGACAGACACACATAAACACGCACAGACACACACATACACACAGAGAGACACAAATAGAGACACACAGAGACACAGACACGCACAGATACACACACACACAGACACAAATAGACATGCAGACATGCACACCCAGCAGTAGCTGTCATTAGACATGAGGGGAGTGTCCCCAGAACACTCTGCTGTTTAAATCTCAGGTCCTGAAATAGCATCCAACCCTCAGGGCCTCAGGCAGCCCGGTTGGATGGATGGCCCTCTGTCCACCATGACCAGGGCCAGGCGGGAAGGGCCAGGCGGGAAGGAGCGGGACCGTGCGCCCTGGCCCAGAGGACGCCCACCAGCCTTTATCCAGGTTTATTTCCAGGAAACACAGAGGTTCAGCTTGTCAGACTCTGATGCACTGGCCAGTTTCAGCCGGTAGCTCCCTGGCCACTAAAATGTACAGCGCAATCGACAGATGTGCATTTGTGCTTCGGTGGGGGAACTGCTACTGATGAGGGATGTGCAAGCCGGGGCCGCAGTCAGTGTGAGAGCCGCCCGCCAGCTCCCCGCCAACGGCCTGCGTAGACGGGGATGACAGCCTCTCCTTCCCGTCTCTTCCGAGTCGAGGCGAGGCATTTACGGAGCGCCTGTGGCGTGCAGGCCCACTTGGCACTGGGGAAGGGGTGGCTCGGAAGGTCGCGGTGTCCTCCTGGCCTTCGCGGCTCCATGGGGATGCGGGAGGAACCGCAGCCGGAAGGACAGAGTGTGCCCCTTCCGCACCCCGAGTGAGCGGCCACCATCTCTGCCCCAGGCCGGGAGGACGAGGGAGTGACGTGTCCCTGTCTCTGCCCCCCGACCCCCAGGCCCACAGCTGGCGGAAGAGTGTTTGTGCGACGATGGTAGGTAGCATGGCCGCGTGGCAGGTGTGAACTCACCGTGTGTCCTGGGGCAGCACACATGCTCTCGGGGCGCAGGGGATCGGCCTGGAGGGAGGTCATGGCCGAGAGTGGGGAAGGGGGTCTCAGTGCCGCAGAGAGTGCCCCTGCCAGGGCGGCAGGACAGCCAGACCTGTGCCCCAGGAGACCCCGTACCTCAGCGGGGGCACGGGGGCTGGGGGGACATCCAGTTGCTGCCCCAGGACACGTGCTGACGCGCGGTAGAGCAGAGGCCCAGGCCAACCAGGCCCTCGGTGAAGCAGGACAGGCTGCCCCCGTGGAGGGGACAGGCCTCCAGAGGTGCTGGACGCTGCTCCCATTTTAGGACAAGGATGGAGTGGAGGGCCTCAGCTGGAAACGCAGGGTCTGCGTCCTGCCCCACCTTTG